AAGGACCACAAGACCCGCTACGTGTGGGTGAGGCTGGTCGCCAAGAAGTCGGACGTGCTGCGGGAGTTCGTGCAGTGGCTGGCGGTGGCTGAGCGGCAGACGAAGAAGTCGGTGCTGCAACTGCGTTCTAGCCGAGGAGGGGAGTTCCTCGGGAAGGACTTCACCGCCTTCGTCGACGGCAAGGGGATTGTCCACGACCTGACCGGCTCGTACACTCCGTAGCAGAATTGCATGGCGGAGCGGGAGATGAGGACGGTGGTGGTGTTGGTGCACACAATGCTGTTGCACATGGGCGTGCAGCACCACTAGTGGCATCTCGCTCTGCGGCAGGCCGTTTGGGTTCGCAACTGCTTGGAGCGGTCGTTGCTGCCGCCGGGGACGACGCCATACCAGTTGCTCACCGGGAAGAAGCCCGACTTGTTGCTGGCCCGCGTATGGGGCTGCATGGCGTAGTTCCTGGTCTCTGAGCAGCAACGTGGTGGGAAGCTAAAGCCGAAGGCCAGGTGGGGCCTGCACCTCGGTGTGTCGGAGGAGAGCAAGGGTTGGGAGCTCCTCGACATCGCCGACAACCGGGTGGTCACCACGTCGGACGTGGTGTTCTACCTAACTATGTCTCTGGAGGTGTGGAAGTTGGAACTCGGGCCAGCGTCGGGGCGGACGCAGGCCAACCCGCTGACGGACACCTCGTCGGCGACACTTCCTCTACCCGTCGAGGTTGGTGAGTAAGCTGATGAGGATGTCGTGGTCGCCCCTACCTCGCCTTCCCCTACCCCTCCTTCCCGTCCCATTCCCGTCGACCTGCGTGGACTGACTCCGGTGTCGGCCTCCGGCAATGAGGGGAGCAGTGGGGCGTCGCCTGTGGCGCCAACCAAGAGCATCGCAGGTGGCTGACGTCACGCTCAGCCAGTCGGCTTTGACGTAAAGTTGCCGTCGACCGGGGAGAAGCGGGCAGCGGAAGTGCAGCCGATTTTGGTGCAGTTGGCAGAGGAGACCGCGGCTAGCATGCAGCTGACAAGAGAGCAGGCAGCAGCTAAGCCAACCACGGAGCAGTGGATACCCGGGAAGTTGGCAGGGGAGCCGAAGACAGGGGAGAAGTCAGCAGGGTCGCCGACCGTCGTGCAGCCGAACGCTGAGGGCAGTGACGCCGGGGATGACGATGGGGAGCATTCGGACGCCAGCCCCCGCGGGGGCTGCGGGACCGCGGGCGTCGGGTGCAGGACCCCGGGACCGCGGGGGGCCGCGAGACCGCGGGACCGCGATGAGTCCACCAACAACGATGTGGTGGAGGCCCCCCTGGACCTAGGCGAACAGGCCGAATTCGAAGGCCTCCCGACTTCTTCGTCCCAACCGCCTTCACCACGGTGTACGACGTCGACGATGACGACCTGGCGTACGATGACGCCAAGGATGATGGCGACCTGCCCGAGCTCAACCCCGATGTGCACGCCGACCCTGAGCACCGTTGGGACATCTCCACGATGACGGTAAAGGAGGTGTTGGCGAGCTGGAAGGGCGAGGCGGTGAAGGCCGCCATGGCGGAGGAGATCCGCAGCCTCATCAGCATGGGCACATGGGAGTTGGTTGAGCGCCCACCCGGGGTGAACATAATGAAGAACCGGTGGGTGCTGACGGCGAAGTACCGCATCGACGACACCGTAGAGCGTGATAAGGCAAGGCTGGTCATGAAGGGCTTCACATAGGTGTACGGTGCTAACTATGACGAGACATACGCGCCGGTGAGCAGCTACGTCATGCTGAGAATCTTCCTCAGCATCGTCGCCGTCCTTGACCTCGGCACCCACGGTCTTCCGTCAGGGTGCTTCCAGTCCCTATGGTGGATGTGCTCGAAGCGCAGTGGAACGAGGTCAATCAACTCATTCGAATCGCCGATGCAGTCAGAAATGTCGAAATCCAAAATGTACACTCCATTTTCGGAGTGCGCTGTTCCAATCTGCTTGCGGGGGAAGGTGTTTGACTCGTAGTGTAGCAGGATGTCACGCGTCGCGCGATCCGTGCTGAGGTCAACGGCGTAGTCCATGAGCTGTGCGGCGGAAAGTAGGTTGAAGCGCAGATTCTGGACGATGAGCACATCGTTGAGTGTGATGTGCGTGCGGCTTCCTCGTGCCTTGAGCACGACGATGCCTTGCGCGTTTGCGTGCAAGCGCGTATTGTTGGCCACTGCGACGTAGTGACAGTGGGCATGGCAACGGCATTGGATATGTAACGCTCAGAGCCTCGATGTGCTAGCCGCAGCAGCTGTCGAGGTACCAGGTATTGTAGCGCTTCCTATTGTCACGTGTGAGCAGCGCCAGTCGCGGTGTGACGAGGTGCGGTGTGTCGAACTTCAGAAACTGCTCGCGCGAGAGCTTATCAAGCCTGTCGAGCTTACTCTGTAGGAAGGCGTTCTTCATTTCGAGCTGCAACGGCATCAACCAGCGCGATTGCTGGGCGTGGGCTTGCCGCCATCGCCGAAGCAGAGCGACATGCACCGCCAGACGAAGGGATGTTGCAGCTGGAGCTCGAAGTAACAACGCGTGGCATCTTCGGCACGCCAGAACATCCCCTCACTGGACCAGCATCGCAGCATCTCCAAGGCATGCTGCACGGCGCTGGCGTCAGCGCCTTTGATGCGCACAACGTGCTGCGACCCTACAGACGAGAGAAGTTTGTGGAGATCTAATCTCATCGGCGCGATTCCACGAAGAGGCTTACCGTGGAACAAGAAGAAGAATTGGCGCGCCGCGAAGCTGAGAATCTTTGCCGACAAAGCCTCGCCAAAGCACACGGGACATTCACTTGCGGCGCATGGGGAGCCGAAGAAGAAGAGAGCGCCTCCAATGAAGGGGGGTGGGGAAGCGCTGGCGGATGGGGGAGGAGTGACACTGGCGGATGGGGCAACACCGGCGGCACTTGGGCAACCGCGAGCGGCGGATGGGGCGTTGCAACTGGCGACGATGGTAGCGGCTGGGGGACTTCTCGCGAAGAACAAAAGGGGGGAGAAGAAGCCGAGGAAACACCTGCAGTTGTTCCCCTAGGTCGCCCCCCGCGCCGTGCTCCACCCGCGCTACCTCCTCCTGACATTCCGCCACACCACGATCACTGGGACACCATCGATTGGGGTAACAAACTGTCAACCCCGCGCCGTACCATTTATGGACCTGCTCCCGAACCGCACGAACCTACCTTCGTCCCTGGAACCATCCGTGGGACCAACATCTCCTCTGAAATCCAAGACAGAGAGTTTTTGGCGCTGATTTTAACCACCGCCAACGACGAAGAAGAAGCAGCAAAAGAAGCAGCAGCAGAACCTGCCTCTGTACCTGACAAAGACCCCAAAGAAGCTCGCGCGCGCTACATGCGCACCTCCGGCTTTCGCGCTGACGATGCACTCTGGCACCAGCGCCTCGGGCACCCCTCACGCGCGACGTTGAAAAACTACATTGACGTAGGAGTTTTCGCTCCGGGCGCACTCCTGCACCCCAACGGCACCGAAGTAAGAAGCGCGACACATCCCCTGCAATTGCACCATCTGCCCTAAAGCCGTACTGAGCCACCAGCCGTTCCCGCTACTCGAGCCAGGAACTAACCACTACCCCAAACTATACAAGGTGTACAGCGACTTCCTGAACGTGGGACATTGTGGACTCAATGACGAGCTGTATACGCTCACCATCATCGACGCTGGGACGCGCTACGTGTGGGTCGTGAACGTGGAAGCGCAGAGCAGAGCGTACCAAGTATTTCGCCTCATGCTGGCGCACGCGCAGCGGCAATCTGGGGAGAAACTGAAGATCTGGCAGTCGGACGGCGCAGCAAAGTTCAGGAGAAAGGAGCTGCAGAATTTCTCGGCACACAAGGGCATCGAGCATCACATTTCTCTCTCCTACGCGCACCAGTAGCAAGGCGTAGCCGAGCAAACGAATCGCACGCTTATGACAAAGGTGCGGGCGCTGATGAAGCAATCAAAGCTGTCGCCGATCTACTGGACCTACGCGATGCACCACGCTGTACGTATGCACAACCTACTATCGACGACTGCGATCACCGGCAATCTGTCCCTGCATGTGAAATGGACCGGAACTAAGGGGGACACGACCATGCTTCGCGTGTGGGGGTGCATGGTGCAATATCGCTAGCCAACTTCAACTATCGGCAAATTCGCTAGCCGCACGTGATGGGGCATTCACCTTGGCATCAGCCACGAGTACAAAGCATGGATCATGCTGGACTTGCTCAGCCAAAAGACCACCCATGCCCGTGACGTCAACCAGGCTTGGCGAATTCTTGCCACCATAAGGATGGCCGGCGCGCAGTACTGGACGGCTTGGTACGTCACGCACGTCATGCAGGGTCTCCAGAGCAGCTACAACCTATTGAAGCGGCTGTCGATGGCACCGAGCACGCGGGCGACGCTCAACGAGGACACCTTGACCTTGTACATCCTACACGATGAGGCGGTGAAGGAGGCTAAGCAGTCCCAGGAGACCCTAGCGCAGATGAACTACGTCACCCCGGCGAAGCACGGTGGTCGACCGGGGCAGCGTGGGCAGTCTGGCGGCAGTGGTGGTAGTGGACCCGCTCTCCGTCCCTGCACAGCACATTCATCCCCTCCCTCGCCTCCCTCCCTCGTCTCCTCCCCTCATTCCCTCCTCTCGTCTCATCCCCCCACCCCACCCACAGGCTGTTCGCGCCCTCAGCGCACCACGTGGACCTCTCCTGTATCACACTGGTATTTATTCCATTTGGTAACAAGAGAGACATAGAAGCGCTGTTCCTCACGTCTCGTCCATCCCCCTAGTCCCCCATCCCTCGTCAGGCTGTTCGCGCCCTCAGCGGACCACGTGGACCACGAGTGACATGCACATGCCCCTCCACTCCTCTCGTCCCCCCACCCCATCCCACCCCTTTCGCAGGCTGTTCTTGCCTACCTGGCAGACTTTTGCTGCCTTGGTTCCCTCTGGCTTGACAACTGTCGCCACGTCACAGACTCTGCTCTCAGCATGCTCTCAGGTATCCTTGAGATGCTCTCTCAGGTGATCCCTCAGGTGCTCTCGCAGGTGTTTCCTCAGGTGGTTTTTAGGTGCTCTTTCAGGTGCTTCTTCAGGTGCTCACTCAGCTGCATGTTCTCGGGTGCGTCTTCGTTGGTCCACTTGTGCCACCTGTCTGTGTGGGGCAGCAGCATCACCAACGCCTCTACCACTCAATCTTTCCCGTGTGCTCTTTTATGCATCAACTTCGTTACCACCCTTTCTCCCACCCCTCTGCCCCTCCAACCCCACCCACTCTTCCCCCAGACCCTTGTTCATTTGCGCCATCTGTCTGTGTGGGGCAGCAGCATCACCAACGCCTCTGCCCCTCTCCTCACCTTCCCCAACTCTCACTGTCCTCTTTCCGTCCCCCCCCCATCCCTTCCCTTTCCCCCCTCCAGTCGCTGGTCCACTTGCGCCATCTGTCAGCGTGGAGCAGCAGCATCACCAACGCCACTGCCTTGCTGCTCCTCGCCTACTTACCTCCTCGCTAGAAATGCCCCTCCTTCCCCTCTTTTTTCCTCTCATTTCCTTCATTGTCCCCCGCTACTTGCCCTGTTCCTCTCCTCTCCTCCCTCTTCCAGTCTCCTCCATTCCTTCTCCTCCGTCTTCTAGTCTCCTCCATTCTCTCTCCTCTTCCCCCTCTTCCGATCTCCTACCACTTTTCCCCCTGCTATACACTTGTCCCCCCTCCCCGCTAGCCCCTTGCTTCCCCCCTGTTAGCCCCCTATTCTCTCCCTGCTAGTCCCTTGTTCCCTCCCTCGTCCAATCTCCTCCCTTGATCCCTTCCTCTCTTCCGCACATCCTCCCTTCCTCTCTGTCCTGGCTTTCCTCCCTTGCTTTCCCTCATTTCCCACCCAGCGTCCCCTCATTTCCCTGCTGTTCAACACCAGCCCAGGAGGCCCGTGCAGAGCAAGCTGCCGCAGGAGCCGGATGAAGGGAGAGGGCAACGCCAGCTCAGGAGGCCCGTGCAGAGCAAGCTGCTGCGGGAGCCGGGCAAGCGAAGGCAACATGGACGATCAGGGTGGGGCTAACGGCAGAGCAAGCCGAACGCATGAGAGAGATGCTGAGAAGGCACAGGAAGGCCTTCGCCTATACGCTGAAGGAGCTGGGAAGGAGTAAGATCGGGGAGATGAAGATAGACCTGATCTCAAACACGCCGACCTTCCAACGGAAGCGGAGGATGACCAGAGCAGATGAGGACCTTTGCAAGGAGAAATGCAAGGAGCTGTTCGAGGCAGGGCTGATTCGGCGGTCAACATCCGAGTATGCAGCAGCGACGGTGATCGCCGCGCGCAAAGATGCGGCGGGAGAGGTCTTGTCCAGGCGGATGTGCGGGGATTACCGCGACTTGAATAAGATAACCAAGGCCAACCGGTACCCCATGCCCACGCCGGAAGACATATTTGACAAGATCGTGGGAGCAGTGGTGTTCACCATCCTGGATCTGCGACAAGGCTTCAACCAAATCCCGATCAGGGAAGAGGATCGCGCCAAGACAGCATTCCATGGAGTGGACGGGCTCTGGGAATGGAACGGGATGCCGTTCGGGATGCGGAACTCCTCAGCCTTCTTCCAGCAAGTGATGGATAGGGTGCTAAGGGATGTGGACTGTGCAGCATGCTACATTGATGATGTAATCATCTTTAGCAAGGACCCCGAGTCGCACGTGGCGGATATGGAGAGGGTGCTGGGGGCAATCATGGAAGCAGGGCTGACTTGCCACCCGGGCGAGTGCAGGTTCGGAGAGAGCACCATGAAGTATCTGGGATTCGAAGTGTCGGATGGAATGCTGTCAGTCCAAGAAGCGAAGGTGGCGGTTTTGGACAAGGTGGTGGTGCCAACGGACCGCAGCAGGCTGAGAGCGGTCCTGGGCTTCCTGAACTATTACAGGAAGTTCGTGCCCAACTTCAGCAAGAGGGCAAGCGTACTGAACCAGCTGCTGAAAGAGACCACCACGTGGAAGTGGGGAGGGGAAGAAGACGCAGCCCTGAGGGACCTGCTGGGGGCGGTGAAAACAAGCCCTGTGCTGATGTTCCCAGAGAGGGACAAGCCGTTCGTGCTCTACACAGACTGGAGCAGCCTGGGCATGGCGGCGGTTTCTCCCCTCGGCTTGGCCACGATCTACGCGCACCCTTCGGTCCTGAAGTCCTGGCTCGGGGGAGGCACGAGATGGAAAGCCACTGTTAAAGCACTGTTGGACTCAAAATTGGTGACCATAGGAGATCCGGCACACAGGTGGGACGCAGAGGAGGAGCAGTTACTTTTCAATCGCTGTATTTTCTTCAGAGGCACATCACCTTTCGGAAATCAGGCGGGCTCGCTTTGCCTAAAGGGCATCCAATTAGGAGACTTGGTGGCAAAAGGAGGAGATGGCAGCAGATCTCGTAAGAGTGATGAGGTTCTGGAGAGGGAACTCGGAGATGTGGAGCAAAGGAAATGGGCCCTGAAGGCGTGGGATGCGACACCACAGGGATGGAAGGATCTGGTACTCAACCAACTGTCGGCAGAGGAACTTTTCAGGGAAACGAGGCTGGTCCGCTCTGCGTCTTACCGCCCAGGAGAGTTCTTTTATTACCAGCTGCAATATGTGAGCAACGGCGAGCTTTACGGTCGGAGAGTGACGGTGGACAAGAAAGGGAACATAGGCGAGGTGGAGTACGCTAGCGTGGTAACGGTGGAATTTCGACGCGCTTCACCTATGGCAGTCATAGATGGGAGGGCCCGCGGCTTACTCGGCGCTCCAAGAACGCGACTACTCTACTCCACAATCTGTGAGAAAGGCGAGCGGGCTGATCCAAAGAAGCTGAGGAAGGCGATGAAACCCTCGGTGGCGCAACCGAAACAGCAGCTGAAGTGGGAAGAGGAGTTGGGGAGGAAGATCGGTTGGGGGAAGGCTATCACGGTCCGTGACTCACTGGCAACCCCATGCAGGGCACGGGAAGTGATACTGAGGGTGCACAGTCACAACCTCCAAGTAGGAGAACGGCTCCCCTTCTTGGGCGCGAGGGCGAAATGCACGCACTGTGGTGGAGTCGAATCGCAGGATCACTGCCTTTTCAGTTGCCCGACGATCCAACCTGTGGTGGAGGTGATGAGGAAAGTGGTTCAGTGTATGAATCCGGGTAGGGACATGCGATCTCTCGGGGACATGCTCTTCCAAAGGAGTGGCACGTCGACTGGTTTCCCTGAGGCGGCAATCATATCTATTATAGCGCACCAAGTTTGGCTGGAGAGGTGCAACGCGGTTTTCCGAGGTAGCCGGTTCCAGCCAAAGAGAGCTTTGAGGCGCATAGCAGTTGGGTTCACGAGGCACGTGAAGATCTACAGCAGAGCGCGGAAGAAAAAGGCTGGCATGAATGTTTCGAAAAGGACGGGTGACTGGAGCCACCTGAATGCTGACGAAGCAGGCGCTATGCGCAGACTCTATGAGACAGAGGCCTCGATGACGTGGAGAGCGGGTTTTAAGGCAATCTGGGAAGATGGTGGTGTAGGATTCCAACCTCCGTAAAAGGATAAGGGGGGCTCTGGTTACTTGGGTACTCGTAGCCTCTCCATGCCCTCCTAGCAACAGTTACGACTGCGGATGTATGTATGCTGGCAGTGTACTTATATCAAAAAAAAAAAAAAAAAAAAAGGAAACTGATATGGAGCCAGCAGCTTTGAGCGCAGGACCGAGGGATGATCCATTTGACGTACCCTACGATCCTATAAGCGAGACCATCTATGGTTACTCGGAGCAGCAAAAACCACTACTACTCGAGGTGATCTGCAATGGGCGACGCCTCCAGGCAACGGTGGATAGTGGTGCGTCCCACTCGGTGTGCGACCGTGGGACGTTGGAGAAAAATGGAGAATCTTCAGAGGAGACCAAGTTCTCGGCAACAATGGTGGACGGTACGAAACTTCCCATCCATGGCGAAGCATCACTGCAGCTGCACATAGGGGCGCTGAGGTGGAAGCCGACGTTGCCGATCACGAACATCAAGGGTTTAGACTTCATCTTGGGGCGAGATTTCTTGAAGCGGTTCAACCCCGAGATCGACTAGGTCAACAGGAAGGCGTGCATCTACAACAACGGGAAACGAGTGGAGCTGCGAAGCTGGACGGATACAGGGAACATACATGAAACGACACTGGCTCGGTTCGAACGGACGGTGAACGAGAGTAACACGGGTTACTTAGCACTGGTTATGGCAGCAGCAGAGGAGGAGAAGCCGAGTTCGGAGCTATCTGCAGCAGTGAAGGAGGTCTTGGAGCAGTACAAGGATATAATGCCCGACGACCTACCTGCAGGCGTACCCCCTGCACGCACCCACGAGCACGAGATCGTGGAGGAACCAGGTGCGAAACCCGTCTCACGCGCACCATACAGACTGAGTCCGACCGAACTGACAGACATGAAGAAACAGATAGAGTATCTACTGGACAGACAACTGTTCCGCCCATCAACCTATCCCTACGGTGCACCTGTCCTCTTCACTCCAAAACCAGACGGCAGTTTACAGATGTGCATCGACTACCGCGCACATAAACAGACAGTTTAAAACAAATACCCCATATCGCACATAGACGACCTATTGGACCAACTGCATGGTGCAACACTCTTTTTGAAGCTGGACCTACGGTCGGGTTACTGACAGATCAAGATGGCAGACAACTCGGTCCACAAGACGGCGTTCCGTACAAGATACGGCTCCTACGAATACTTGGTGATGCCGTTCGGACTCTGCAACGCACCAGCGACGTTCCAGGCGGAAATGAACCATATTCTACGGCCCCTGCTAGACAAGTGCGTAGTGGTGTACCTTGAAAATATCGTCATCTACTCCAAGAACATGAAGGAGCACGTGGAGCATCCGCGGAAGGTGATCGAGATCCTGCGGAAAAACAAGTTCTACGTGAAGCTGTCGAAGAGCGACTTCGCCCTGAAGAAGGTGCAGTTGTGAAGCAAGGAAAACAGGAATGAAATGACTAAGGAAAGATTGGGTACAAATACAACCCTAGAAACCCTGTACCCCATATGTGCTACCCCACTATAGCCTACAGTAACTATGTCATATAAATCTGACACACCCCCAATGGCAAAGTGGGGGAGAACAAGGGGTCACAAGACCAGTCAAGCAAAGCAAAGCAAGCTCAGGGTGGATCACAAAGTCACCACACAGTCCGAGCACAAGAGTAGGGCCAGAGGCCAGTTCACATGCAGGAGTACAGACATATATATAAAACTAGACAAGCAAGAGCAGGCATATATATATATGTCACAGTACAAGTGAAGTCAAGAGGAGAGCAAGTGAGGCAAGACAGGCACAAGACCCAGCTGGGTGCAAAAGCGCTGATGGTCACAAGGCGCGAGTGCCTTGGTGAACACATCAGCAGTGTTGGCCTCAGAGGCCACGTACGCAAGTCGCAACTGACCACGCTGCTGCAGCTCACGAGCAAGGAAGTAGCGGAGAGCAATGTGCTTCGTTCTGTGCTCCAAGCGCTGCTCTCGACACAAGGCCATCATGGCCTTGTTGTCTACGTACAGCACTGGAGGAGAACGAGGCGGCTCTCCAAGGTCAGTCAGCAGGTAGGTGAGCCAGCGAAGCTCCTGTGCAGCCATGGCCCCGGCGTAGATCTCAGCCTCACAACTGGAGCCGAGAACCGAAGACGAGCGAGTAGACCGCCACGAGACAGAGCCGGAACCAAGGCTGAAGGTGTAACCCTGTGACGACCGCTGCGTAGCCTGGTCGTCAGCCCAAGAAGCGTCCGCGTGGCCGGTAAGGACCACTGGACTCCGCCCTCCAAGCACTAGCCCCATGCCCGACGTACTGCACAGGTAGCGCAATACCCTCTTCGCTGCAGCCATGTGCTCCGGTCTGTGTCTCCCAGGAGCAACATAGCGTGCAAGAATGCTCAGAGGGTATGCAAGGTCAGGTCGTGTGCAGGTCATCAGGTACATGAGGCAGCCAACAAGCTCTGCATACGGACCACTCGACTCTACGGACTCATCCGAAGGCAGAGGTGAGAGTGACTGGCGAGTAGGCAGAGGAGTGGCCTGAGGCGAGGAGTACGTGAAGCCGAAGCGCTGAAGGACCTGCTGCACCATGTGTGACTGAGTCAAGGTAATGGTGCGGCGTGCTCTGTCCCGAGTGATCTGCAAGCCAAGGTAGCTGCGCAGTTCACCCAGGTCTGTGCACGTGTGTCTCTTCAGCAGCTCGGACTTCACGTAGGCGAGTCCAGCAGTGTCCGCTGTGGCAAAGACCAAGTCGTCGACGTACACGAGGATGTAGAACGGCGGCAGGGAAGTGTCGGTGCGAAGAAACAGCGACGGGTCAGCAGTAGAAGGAGCAAACCCAAGAGCCGCAAGCGTAGTCCTCAGTGTGTCGTGCCACTCACGCGGTGCCTGGCGGAGACCGTAGACTAGCCGTCGGAGGCTCCACTGGGTGCCAGGAGGGAAAGTCCCAGTGAAGCCAGGTGGACGGCGAAGCCAGATCTCCTCGTGCAGGCTACCCTGCAAGAACGCAGTGCTGAAGTCGAGAGAGTGAAGCTCGTAGTCGCGCTGAGCGGCTATGTGCAGCAGAACCCGAAGAGTAGTCATCTTCGGGGTGGGAGAGAAGGTCTGAAAGTAGTCAACTCCCTGCCGCTGACTGAAGCCACGAGCAACGTACCGTGCCTTGAAGACAGGTGGAGAGCCCGGCGGCCGCTTCACCCTGAAGATCCACATGCCACTGACGATGTTCGCCCCAGGAGGGGGAACCGCGTCAACGTAGGTGCCTGTGGACTTCCAGGAAGCCATCTCTGCATCCATAGCTGCCTGCCACTGAGAGGAGTAGGGACCCTCTACGGCCTCCGCGTAAGAACGCGGAGTCGGGATGTCTAGTGCATCCGGGTCTCCCTCAGGGGCAAGCAGTACAGACGCGAAAGAGGTGAAGCAGCCGCTAGACACTGTAACTCCTCCTGCCTGTCCTCTAGGACGTCCGTGCCAAGAGCACACTCACCCCCGACGGACGGAGGACAGACAGACGCAGACTCAGCAACAAGACTAGCAGCGTAGTCGAGACGACAGCGAGCAGCAAAGTCGACGAGCTCAGCGACAAGGGCAGACGCAGCAGTGGACTCAAACGAGGGGTCAGTGACGACAGTAGCAAGGAGACGCGTGACAGTAGGACTGGCAGCACGAAGAGAGTCCGACTCAGGGTCGGCAAGCACAGGAAGAGAGGACTCAGGAGGAGAAGGCAAAGGGGCACGCAGAGGAGCAGTGGACGGACGCAAAGACATCCAGTGCGTGCCAGGGACAGGAGGAGGACGCTGACGTGAACTGCGACCACTAGCGCGAGCAGCACGAACAGGCGACGCGGGACGAGACGCAGGCTCACGACGCTCAGCAAGACCTCCAGTAGGACCAGTGTAAGGAGAGGGAGCAGGCAGTGGAGAGGAAGGCTCCAGCAGGGACTGCGACTGGACAGGCGGTGGACCCTCTACTAGAGGAGAAAGACCAAGAACCTGCTGTAGGAGTGGAACGAAGTACGGCCGAGGCCGCGCGGCAGCTCCAGACTCAGCAGGGACAGCACCAGCACCCTCAGCGACAGCACCAGCGCCACCCACACCTCCAGCGGCAGGACCAACAGCAGTAGGCTCAGCACCAACGCCCTCAGCAGCTCCAGCTCCAGGAGGACCCGCAGGTCCAGCAGCTCCGGGACCGGCAGCACCCGCACCCTCGACGGTCGAAGAAGCTCCAGCTCCAGCTCCAGCTCCAGCAGCACCTCCAGACGCAGCAGCACGCCTCCAGCGGCGAGCGAACCACTCGCGCAGCTCCTGTGGAGAGAGGGGCTCCCAGCGAGACGCCGCAGCAGGAGAAACCCCAGGCTCAGCAGCTCCAGACGCAGCACCCCCAGGCTCAGCAGCTCCCAGCACAGCACCCCCAGGCTCAGCAGCTCCCGACCGAGCACCCCCAGACCCAGCACCTCCAGGCACAGCACCCCCCGGCTCAGCACCCCCAGGCTTCGCACCCTCCGCAGTAGCACCCTCAGGCCCAGCACCCCCAGCAGTAGCACCCCCAGGCTCAGTAACCCCGCGCACAGCACCCCCAGAGTCAGCACCCCCAGGCTCAGCACCCGCAGCAGCACCAGAGTCACCAGTAACCTCGACCGGGTCAACGACGTCTACCTGGGACACACCTGAGGGGGCAGGAACCTGAGGGGGGAGGGGGTCTACCGGGGGGGGAACCGGAACAAGGAAGTCCGGGGGAGGGGGGAGGGAAGGAGTGCGGTAGGGGAAGAGACGATAGAAGGGGACTGACTCGTCGAACGTGACGTCCTGGGAGGACAGAACACGACGAGAGGAGGGGTGGTAAAACTGCCACCCTGGGGCGTCAGTGGGGAAGCCAAGGAAGACACAGGGAGCAGCACGAGGGGACAGCTTGTCCGCAGACAAGTCGCGGACAAACGCCCGAGATCCCCAGACACGGAACACAGACGCATCGCCAACCTTCCCCGTCCACAGCAAGGCTGGGGACATCGCAGGCCGAGAGACCCGGGGGTGAAGGTTGAGCTGATGCGCCGCGTACCTCACCGCAAACGGCCACAGAAAATGGGGGGCAGCCGCATGCATCATGGACGTACGAGCGACATCCATGACCATGCCAATGCGGCGCTCAGCAATCCCATTTTGCTGTGGTGAGTCCGGAAGCGTGAAGGTCTGGCGGATCCCCCGTGCACGACAGTAGTCTCGCAGAAGGCGAGAAGAGAACTCTCCGCCTCTGTCAGAGTGCAGACGCAGAACAGGAAAGTCCGAGCCGAAGCTCTTCCTGAGCTGGAGACGAGCCTCGCGGATCCAGTCGATCAGCACCTCAGTGACCGCACCCTTGCTGCGCAAGGGGAGGACTGTGGTGTAACGCGAGTAGTCGTCAACCACCAACAGGAAGTAGCGCTCGTAACCCTACCCACGGACGGGGGCTGGGCCCCACACATCCATGTGAAGCGTCTGCAGGGGAGCCTCTGTCGGGGGGAAGTGGGAGGAGTGAGGAGTAGCCCGGAGGCGACCCTCGACACAGGGGACACAGGAAGGTCCTGGCCCGGAGGGGAGAGGAGGGAGAGACTGGGGAAGACCAGAGACAAGGACTCGGGAAGCCATGCTCCGAAGACGGGGCAACGAGGGGTGGCCAAGATGGTGGTGCCACAGGAGAGTCTCGTGAGACAGGAGGCGACAAGAACAGGGGGCAGACTCAGGACCTGACCGGGACGCAGCAGCAAGTACCTGACCCGACGCAGCCACCTGACCAGACGCAGGGACAGGAGGAGACTCAACGGTCAGGGTGTAGAGACTCGACCCCGGCCGACGCGAGAACGTGGCCAGGTGTCGGCCTGTGCGTGTCTCCGTGCAGTGGGTCACCCGCTGACTCGTAGGAGTGAACTGGTGAACACCCACATCCTGCAGGTCCGCTCCACTCACCAAGTTCGTAGAGAACGAGGGAAGGTACAGACCCGACAGGGTGCCCGAAGGGGCAGCCGGACACGGGAGGACAGTGGAGAAGTGAGACAGGACAGAACCCCCAGAGGGGTCAGCAAGGGAGACTGCAACCGGCCGGCCGAGCGGCGTAAGGGTAGTGCGGTCTCGAAAGAAGGAGCGAGAAGCTCCGGAGTCAAGTGTGAAAGTGAGGGAGGACGAGGACGACTCAGTACCTGAGAGCGCAGTCTCACCAGTACCTGAGAGCGCAGACGCACTGGCACCTAGAGCAGCAGCCTCACAAGCACCTAGCGCAGCAGTACCAATGCCCGGGTCGGGCTGGAAACAGCGGTAACCCTCATTCTCCTCACTATAATCCACAACATACATAGCAGTAAGGATAGCATCAAAATCAAGATCAAAGATCGCTACACCAGCCCTGAGAAGCTCATCCCAGCGAGGGATCTCACTAGCCCCAGGGAACTGCTGACGCCAGGCGTCCGTCAGGCGGCCAAAGCAGCGCTGGGTGGCGTGGGCACCCCCACACTGCTCACCCGCGCGGTCGCCGGAACGAAGAACGTAGGTGCAGGGACCAGTACCCCCACCCCTCTGACGCCCAGCGTACCACTCACGAAGCTGCTGAGGCGAAGGGATGTCCCGAGAGCGCTGCTGCTGCTGCCGCTGCGAGCGCTGGCCACCACCACCGCCGCTACGCTGCTGGGTACCACCCCGACCAGCTCCACCCCCTCCACCACCACTGCCTCCTCCGCTGCCGCCTCCACCGCCTCCACCTCCGCCGCCTCCACCTCCGCCGCTGCCTCCACCACCACCGCTGGCACCACCACCACCGTCTCCGCCGCTGCTGCCACCACCACCACCACCCCCGCCACTAGTCCCGCCGCCACCCCCACTCCCTCCGCCGCCACCGCCGCCACCGCCACCGCCCCCTCCAGCTCCACCCGCGCCCTTGCCCCCCTTGCCCTTGCTGGAGCGACGTCTCCCACTAGGGGCAGACGCCGCGCCGACCGACTCAAGACCAAGCAGGTCGGCAGCAGCAGCAGAGGCAATAGAGGGCAGCAAGGGGGAAGGAGAGCACCCCTCAAAGATGGGGGTGCGAGGGTCACCACGAGAAGCACCTACAGCGACTATGCTCTTCTCCGCTGCGAGGAGGGCCTTCTCGAGGAGGTCGACGGTGAGGGTGGTGGGACAGACTGCGAGAAAGTGGTCCCTGACGACTCGAAGGGAGTCAGGGAGGCGCGCGACTACGTAGTAGAGAGCGATGTACATGGGGGGGGGGTTCTTAGCGCAGAACTCAGCAGGAAGGGCGGCGCGGTAGCGAGTGTCACTAGTGCGGAGGTGCGTAATGAGGTCAGCGACAGTGGGAAAGGCAGAGAGGTCAGGAAAGAGGTAGGGAAGCATGAGACGGCTCAGTGCAGCAGTGGCAGGGGAGGAGTAGCGCGCAACTACAGCGTCGTACAAGGTCTGAGCACTCTTGTACTGACTGAAGTGCGCACGCTCAGAGGTAGGGAGGTGGCGACGCACAGCAAGACGTGCAGCAGCATCGCGGGTGGCCCACTTAGAGCGGACAGCGGGATCAGCATCAGCAGCAGGAGCAGGAGAGGCGCCAGAGGTGAGATCAAAGAGAGAAAGGTCGTCAGCCCTGTCGCACTGTAAGAACAGCTGCAGGTCGTCTAACCAGACCTCAAAATCAATGGCGCGACCCTCAGCGTCAAAAGCTAGGACACTAGGGGTAGCCATGGCGTCGACAGCGACGCAGTGCAAGCAGCAGGGAAAGAGCTCGCAGTGTCAGTGGGACTGTGCTCACCAGGCAGGGCAGGTCGTGTAGGTATGCAGAAAGGCGGCTCAGCGACCTGGCGGCTCGGGTGCTGGGCGGCTCGGCTGCTGGGCGGCTCGGGCGCAGGGCGGCTCGGCTCCCGGGCGGCTCGGCGGCTGGGCGGCTCGGGTGCAGGGCGGCTCGGCTCCCGGGCGGCTCGGCGGCAGGGCGGCTCGGGTCCCGGGCGGCTCGGCGTCGGGCGGCTCGGCTCACGGGCGATTCGGCTGCTGGGGCGGCTCGGCCAGGAGATGCAGGGGCGGGGCCGTCAGGTGCAGCGGCGGGTTGACCGGTGCAGTGGCGGGCCGGCAGGTGCAGCGGCGGGCCGGCAGGTGCAGCGGCGGGCCGGCACGTGCAGGCGGCGGGCCGTAGGGTGCAGTGGCGGGCCGTAGGGTGTAGTGGCGGGCCGGCAGGTGCAGCGGCGAGACCGGCAGGTGCAGCGGCGAGGCCGTCAGAGGCGGCGGGCCGCTGGGTGCAGCGGCGGGCCGGCAGGTGCAGTGGCGGGCCGGCAGGAGCAGCGGCGGGCCGGGAGGGGAGGCGGCGGAGCCGCGTCAGGGGAGGCGGCAGGGCCGCGTCAGGGGAGGCGGCGGGGCCGCGTCAAACAGGCGGCGGGGCCGCGTCAGGGGAGGCGGCGGAGCCGCGTCAGGGGAGGCGGCGGGGCCGCGTCAGGGGAGGCGGCGGAGCCGCGTCAGGGGAGGCGGCGGGGCCGCGTCAGGGGAGGCGGCGGGGCCGCGTCAAACAGGCGGCGGGGCCGCGATCAGGAGAGGTGGCGGGGCCGCGTCTGAGGGACAGCGGGGCCGCGAGGGAAAAGGCGACCCGAGGGGGTCGCTAAAAAAAAGGCGCGCCTCGGGGCGCGCTTCGGTGGGCCCTAAAAAAACGGTCCTAAGGCAGGACCCGCTCTATACCATGTGAAGCAAGGAAAACAGGAATGAAATGACTAAGGAAAGATTGGGTACAAATACAACCCTAGAAACCCTGTACCCCATATGTGCTACCCCACTATAGCCTACAGTAACTATGTCATATAAATCTGACAGCAGTTTCTCGGGCACATGGTGAGTGCCGAGGGCGTACACGTGGACCCGCGGAAGATCGAAGCCGTCAAGAAGTGGAAAGTACCGGAGAACGTGAAGGAATTGCAGCAATTCCTAGGCTTCGCCAACTACTACAACAAGTTTGTGCCGCAGTACGCTAAGATAGCAGCACCACTGACCGACCTAATAAAAAAGGATACGCCCTACAAATGGGTTACCCTTCATCAGCAAGCCATGGAGCAGCTACAGATAGCACTGACCACAGCCCCAGTACTCATCTTACCGTTTCCAGACAAGGACTACGTGGTGGAAGCAGACGCTAGTGACCAAGCCGTCGGAGCAGTACTGATGCAGGATCACGGACGCGGTTTGCAGCCCATCGCCTACCTCAGTAAGAAGCTACACGGAGCAGAACTAAACTACCCCATCCATGACAAGAAAGCTTTAGCGATAGTCATAGCCTTCAAGGCGTGGAGGTGTTACCTAGAGGGAGCCAAGACTACAGTCTATACTGACCACTGCAGTCTCAAATACTTGAAGTCGCAGCCGATGCTCTCACGACGACAGGTGCGGTGGGTGGACTTCTTGGAAACTGACTTCCACTACGACATCGTCTACAAGCCCGGGCTACACAACAAGGCAGACGCGTTGAGCCGCCCCGGACATGTAGCAGGCATCCAGCTCGAAGGGATGAACCCTCTGCTCAAGGGTCTATTCCAACGCGGGTACTCCGTGGACGCAGAGATCGCTACAGCACGGACTAAGAAGCTATTACAGTGGGAGAAAGACTTAGGGGTAAGGAAGGGTTCAGGAAAGATTTGTGTACCAAATTACGCCCCGCTACGGCAGATCCTATTGGAGGAGTTTCATGACGTACCTTACGCGGGACATTTCGGGAGCGTTCGTGAAACGACACTAGCACTGGTTATCCTATGAGCTCCTTCCAGAACTTACTCGTGAATTTGGGGTCTCTCTTTGAGATGAGTGTAGCGGGGATGCCGTGGATGGTGATGATGCGGTCGAAGAAGAGGCGAGCAGTTGCTTCAGCTGTAGCTGTGGCATTGGTCGGTATGGAGTGACCCATTTTGGATAACTTATCGATCACTACGAGGATGGAATCGTGCCCCCGTGAGGTCGAAGGAAGTCCTGTGATGAAGTCGAGACTAACGACCTGCCATGGCTGCTCCGGTACAGGTAGAGGCTAAAGTAACCCTGCTTTTTTCTGCTTGCTGCTCTTCATCCGCTGGCATATGTCGCATGAGGTGACGAACTGCTGCACGTCTGCCGCCATCCCGGGCCAGTAGTAATACTTCGCTATCCCTGCTAACGTCTTGTTGCTCCCGAAATGTCCCGCGTAAGGTACGTCGTGAAATTCCTCCAATAGGATCTGCCATAGCGGGGCGTAATTCGGTACCCAAATCTTTTCTGAACCCTTCCTTATAGCTAAGTCTTTCTTCCACTGTAACAGCTTTTTACTGAGGTAGGCGATGGGCTGCAAACTGCGTTTGTGATGCTGCATCAGAATTGCTTCGACTGCTTGGTCACTAGCGTCTGCTTCCACCACGTAGTCTCTGTCTGGATCCGGTAGGATGAGTACTGGCCTTGTTCTCAGTGCTGTCTGTTTGTTCAGTGCGCGATAGTTGATGCACATCCGTAAACTACCGTTTGGCTTTGGAGTGAGGAGAACTGGTGCACCGTATGGAGAGGTGGATGGGCGGATCAGTTTTCTATCCAGTAGATAATCTATCTGTTTTTTCATGTCTGTCAGTTCAGTCGGACTCAGTCGGTATGGTGCACGTGAGACGGGTTTCGCACCTGGTTCCTCCACGATCTCGTGCTCGTGGGTGCGTGCTGGAGGTATGCCTGCGGGTAAGTCGTCGAGCATTATATCCTTGTACTACTCCTAGACCTCCTCCTCTGCTGCTGCCATAACCAGTGTTAGTGTTGTTTCACGAACGCTCCCTGTATCCGTCCAGCTTCACAGCTCCACTCGTTTCCCGTTGTTGTAGATGCACGCCTTTTTGTTGACCCAGTCGATTTCGGGGTTGAACCGCTTCAGGAAATCTCTCCCCAAGATGAAATCTAAACCTTTGATGTTCGTGATCGGCAACGTCGGCTTCCACCTCAACGTCCCTATCTGCAGCTGCAGTGTTGATTTGTCGTGGATGGAAAGCTTTGTACCGTCCACCATCGTTGCTGTAAACGGGGTTTCTTTTGAGGATTCTCCAATTTTCTCCAACGTCCCGCGGTCGCACACCGAGTGGGACGCACCACTGTCCACCAGAGCCTGGAGGCGACGCCCGTTGCAGATCACCTCGAGTACTAGTGGTTGTTGCTGCTCCGAGTATCCGTAGATGGTATCGCTTATAGGATCGTAGGGTACGTAAAAAATGTTATCCCTAGGTCCTGCGCTCGAAGATGCAGCTTCAGTATCAGTTTTCAACTGAGAAAGGTTAGAAGGATTTATCCGAGGCCGATTCGGCTTCTCTTGGGCCTGGAACCTTCCACTAAGCCTTTGCAGCTGTGTAGGCTTCATCTGTGGGGAACAGGGAGCCTTTAAACAGTGCTGCTGGGAGAGAATATTAACTCCTCGGAACGCTCGACCCGTATGAGCGCTCTGGAGTAGGGTCCCCATAATACCCTGTACCGGTTTAATTTCTGACTCTCCCTTAATAAAGGCTTGAAACCCACGAAAAGTAATATTCTTACTTGTCGGGGTATACGGCTGGAGTTTCCCCGTCGGTGCAGGGTCTTATTTCACGGATCCTCCATTAGTCTCGGCAATTTCCCCTGGTGCTGGCTGGTCGTGACGTTTTAAATTTGCGCCACCATATTCTCCTTTTTTCGCCCTCTCCGAAGTTGCCACTTTGTCCGTTTTCTGCTTCGCGGGTGCCGCACTGTTCTTGTCCTTCAGCTCCGCACACCTTCTCTTCATTTTCCAACACGCCAAGATACGATGTCCTGTAGCGCCGCAAAATTTGCACGTCTCATTATTTGCTAGCCGCTGCTCTACATCGCCCTCGTCGTTCTCCATCGGGTCGGCAGTCGTGGGTGGTGCCAATCGCCCCATGCCACTAGTTGGCTTGTTGCGTCGTGTTCCGTAGTAGCTACTGTTCAACGTGTCGAACTGTTCGATCAGTGCTGCCCGAAACTGCGCCCACGTCCCCTCGCCTTGGACTATTCTGTTGTTGATCCACTCTAGAGCTGGGCCTCGTAATAGTGTTGCTGCGAGCCGTATGCGCATTGCGTCTTTTGTCGGGGTCGTGCATCCAACGGCTTCGAAGTAAATTTCGAGTTCAGATACAAATCGACGAACGTCGTTCCTTTATACTGTAGGATCGAACACCTCCGGTAGCCTCTGCTTCACTGCTTCGAGGTTAACTGTAGCTGCTGCCATTGTCGTAGGTAGAATTGTTGGTGTCGCCGCCGCTGCAGCTGCTGCTACTGTTGTCGCTGCTGCATTCGCTGCTGCTGTGGCGGTTACCGACTGGTTTGCAAGGAGTTTTTTGAGTCGTGGGAGCGCTGCATGTATTTGCTTATGCGCAGCCGTTGGCGCGCGGCGATTTTCTTTCTGGTGTGCGCCCCGAGGCGCGCGGCCCCGCCTCTCTCGTCGCGACCCTGCCCCTTGTCGCGGCCCCGCCCTACGTCGCGGCCCCGCCCTACGTCGCGGCCCCGCCCCTCGTCGCGGCCCCGCCACCCCTCGTCGCGGCCCCGCCATCTCTCATCGCGGCCCCGCCCTTCGTCGCGGCCCCGCCTCTCTCGTCGCGGCCCCGCCCTTCGTTGCGGCCCCTGCCGCCCTTCGTCGCGGCCCCGCCACCCTGCCTTGCGGCCCCGCCGCCTCTCTTGACGCGGCCTCGCCGCTCTTCTTGACGGCCCTGCCGCCCTTCGTCGCGGCCCCTGCCGCCCTTCGTCGCGGACCCTGCCGCCATTCTCCACCGCGGCCCCGCCACCTCCCTTGCGGCCCCGCAGCCGTGCACCGACACGGCCCGCCTCTGCTGGCCCCGTCGCCTGCCCCTGCGGCCCTGGCTCCACCTCTGCCGGCCCCGGCGCCGCCTGTGCTGGCCCCGTCGCCGCTCCACCCGGCCCCGCCGCCGTCCCCAAGCGGCCCCGCCGTCACCACCGAGCCGCCGGCGCCGCTAAGCTAGTGCCGAGCCACCCGAGCCGCCCGAACCGCGCGAGCCGCCCGAGCCGCCCGAGCCGCCCGAGCCGCCCGAGCCACCCGAGCCGCAGCGCCACCTCACCCGCCCGAGCCGCCGGGTCGCCGAGCCGCCGAGCTGCAGTTGCTGCCGAGCAGCCGTACAGCCAAGCCGCCAAGCCACCAAGCCGCCTGAGTCGCCCGAGCAGCCAAGCCGCCCGAA